CAGATATTTCGTCAACAACAAGCAGCAGGACATCACGCAGTGTCCTTGATGGAGATAACTATTATCTGTTCTGGATAATCATCAATTTTTTTAACTGACACGTTTTAAAACTTCCATTTCATTCCCTAACCAGGTGGGAAGTGTTGACCCAGCTCGAGACTTCCGCGCTTTGATCAAACAGAAATTCTTCCGTTCGGAGAAGGTGAGCTCCAGAATTTATTTATTGATTTATTTATTTTTTTCCTGCTGTACTTAAACCGTAATCATCATGTACAGCCCCTGTAATTATGTTTATCTCTTTGTTTGGTTGCGGTGACCCTTATGTCCTTCCAGTCTGCCAGCAGCTGACTCACAGGATAGAGCAGTTGCTAAGCAACAAGAACACACAGTACTACATGAAAAGCATCACCTGTATCCAGGCTTTCAGAGAGCAATCCGTTAAGGTAAATAAACATTCACATTGCTCTTCCTTTGGAGGAGCGAATGATGATGCGGTGTTTGCTGTTGGTTTGGCGTTTTTAGGATTATGAGCCTTAATAAGATTATGACTCTGTTTCTTTTCTTGAACACACAATTATTTGCTTATGTGTCTGTATGTAGATTAGAGTTTTTTCAAGACTGTTAAACGGAATTTAATGTTTTATCTTCGTACTCAGCTGGGAAATGCTGAACACTACATAGCTACCTTCAGTCCCTGAAGGAGCATCCCAAACAGAGGACTAGAGGTGTTCTGGGAACTGCTCGTTCAAGTATGATACGCCATTTTAATAGAGCTGTGGTGTTTCTCCCAACTTCGCAATATCTAACCAAGTCAAGAACACTCAGAGGAAGTAGGTCCAATCAAGAGATGCCTTCATGATGGAAAAACGAGGGGTTTACAACTTGGTTTTGTCTTCTTATGCTCAAGAAGAGGATGGCCAAATTAGACTTTGTCAGGAAGCACCTAACAGTGCCTGCAGAGTTCTTTGGACAGATGAAAACAAGATTAATTTGTACCACAACGAGGGAGGTCATACCACATCATCTGTCAAACATAGTGGAGGCAGTCTTATGCCGGTGGTCACTTGTTGATTGAGGATGCGATTGCTGATAGAAACAGAGTGATCAGTTCATTATCTCTGCTCAGATCCTGTCAAATGCTGAAAACTGATTGAAGAGCAAATTGCAAAAAAAGCAAACTGCAAAAGCAACCAAGTTTCCCAGGGAAAGAAATGGGATAAGTCTACAATGGCCACATCAGTCACCATGTCAGTCACTCATTAAAGCAGATTTTCGTTGTTAAATACAAAACTGAAACCAGACAGACCAACAAAAAAGCAGCAACTGAAGGTTGTTGAGGTGAAGGTGTAGCAGATCATCTCAAGGGAGGAAATATAACATTTAGTGATGTCCAAAGCTTCTAGACTTCAATCTATTGGCTTTAAAGGATTTTCAGTATTGGAAAACAATCCTTATATTTAAAATTATGTTAGTAAACCAGGTAGTTTTGATTTTTTTTGAGTTAGTTTTAGAATCGAGGGCCTGTATATTTAAATAATTGCAATTCCTAAACTGTTAATTCATAAAAACTAGGAAAATTGTTTAAAGAAACATTGCAAACCTAAAATATTCTGATGAAAATAGTGATTTTTTCATTTTATTTTTTTGCGGGGAGAAAAAAAAGTTTTGCCTCAAATTCAGGCAGTTTGTATCTAACATTGAGTTTTGATCAACAGATGGTTTAACGCTGATCAGCAAGGATGAGGTGGAAGGAAGCTCGGTCTCCAAAGCCGAAGCTAATCAGGTGACTTTAATTTGAATTTGGTACACGTATGAATTTGAGATGATCTTTAGTCTCTTTCTTTGACTGAAACTGGTTTTTTTTTTTTTCTCAGTTTCTGGTTGCTGAGGAGAAGAAAGAGGAGGCAGCTCCTGCACCAGTTGAAGATACTGGAGATGTTGATGACTTGTAAGCGTGCAGTTTTTTATTTCTGACATTTCTTTATTTTTATTTAAATACGTGTTTATGTAACTGTTGTGACTCGAATGGTGTTAAAACCATTTCCTGTGTATCTACATGGGGCGTGTGTGATGTGTTGAGCTCTCAGATATAAACTCTTAGAGGTTGCATGTTTTTTTTTTTTTTCCCTCTCTGTGCAGCTGGATATGATGTAAAGAGAAAAAAAGATGGAAGAGGAGTGTTTGCGGTGGACTCCAGAGAAATAAAAGAATGCACGCTCTCAGTCCAGCCAGACAAACCGTTCAGCCGTCCATTGTTCCTTCACTCCCACTTGGAGTCCTGCCATACTTTGTACTCTGCACTTATGGATCAACTGTGGTTTACACATGCTGTCTAAAGTACTTCACTTTAGAAATTACAAAAAAATTCGCATACTTCAGGCAAGGCTTCTGTGTTCTGTTGAGATTTAAAAATACGCAGTTCTTGTGAGTCTTAAGGTGGTACTTATGTAGTTATTATGGCTACAGTATGCACTGAAAAATAAAGAAACCCTTATAGACTTTACAGAAGACAGAAATGCAGTGCCCAACAAACTGACAGTTTATTATGAAAAATCATTAAAAGCCTATGGTTGATTAAGAGCGCATGACTTGCATTATATTTTTGTGTATGAAATACCTGATCGATCTTGACAAGATGTAGCAAAGCACAATGCTGTGACATCATTTGCAAATTATACAGTGCATAGCAAACTAAACAGTTTTGTGTTAAAGCATAGACTGTATAAAAAAAAAAAAAGAGAACGTGCCACCATAATGCCAACCTTGGTTTGTGGTTTGAATCCTTGACTTAGCACTTGGAGCCAGAAGTGACCATATTTGGAAAAAAGGGTGAAAACGTGAGAAACTCTGGAGAAAAAACCCTTTTCTGAGGTGGAATGCCAATTTAATTAGGGCCATGATATGCTGACAATGGTTCAAAATGGAAAGGTTTTGTCCCACTTATCCATATACACTATAACAAAGGTATTCACCGCTACCTTCACATGCATATGAACTTGAGGACATCCCATTCTTAATGTTTATTATGTCAGCCTACCCTGGCACCTGTAACAACTTCACTCTTCTGGAAGTTTAGGAGTGTGTTTATGTGAAGTTCGACCATTCTTCTAGAAGCACATTTGTGAGGTCAGGCACTGATGTGGACGAGAAGGTTTGGCCCACAGCTCACGAGTTTTTCCACACCAAACGCGCTTATCCATGTCTTATGAACCTTACTTGTCACTGCGAACAGGTGTTCCCCTAAACTGTTTCTACAACATTGGGAGCATGAAATTGTCCAAAATATCTTGTGTTTTGTGTGAGGCATTAAAAGGGTAAGGGGCAAAGCCCCACTCCTGAAAAACAACCCTGACACTTGTGTTGTGCTTGGAAACCTTCTTCATGAAGCTCTCTGTAGACTGTTGTTGGGCTAATCTGAAGGTTACATGAAGTCTTTAGCAATGACTCTGCAGGAAGTTTTTGACCTCTGCATGCTATGACCCTCAGCAGCTGTAATCCTGCTCTTGACTTTATGTAGCCTACCACTTCATGCTGGTCCTGTCATCACTTTGCTATAATACGACTAACAGTTGACTATGAAATATTTAGTAGCGAGGAAATTCATAACTGGATTGTGCACAGGTGACATCCTATCACGGTACCACACTGAAATTCACTGATGTCCTGAGAGTTCTTTCATAAAAGTTTGCAGAAACAGTCTGCATATGGAGGTGCTTGATATATACACCTGTGGCCATGAAGTGATTGAAACACCTGAATGCAATGATTTGGATGGGTGAGTGAATACTTTTGGTAATATAGTGTATATAAAAAAAATCTAGTCCACTTAAATTGAGTTACACAAGGCAAAGTGTAATTTATGGTCCTGTAAATGTGTCCACCCACCCCAGACACACTCCGGTGCAGGCCTCCCAATATTCTGACTGCACGTGTCTAGAAGCAGATGATGCAAGGTGTGCCGAATGTTGATTCATTGACAAGAGGGCCAAATAGAGCAGGACTGCTAGCGGAAATAACAACATGAAAAGCACAGACATGGACACTTTTCATTGTTTTAAACACTAATTTTCACTTCAGCTCTTTGTATGTTATAAAGTTGCTCTTCTCCACGGCTGTCTGATGTACCAACAGCAGCACAAGCTAGAGTGACCCACAGACTGCTGTACCACATATTTTGCACACTGCCTCCATCTGCAACAGGCAGACAGGCCATCCTTGGATTGCTACCGGACAGTGAACGCACCACCGTTGCGGGACCATAAATTCTGCTTGAGCTGCAGCTGCCAATGAATACTTTAACCACTGACAGAACAAGGAAGCACCTAGAGACCCTCAGTTGTATGGCACATGGCTTCACTTTTCAAACATAGTGGGTGCCTGTGTTTCTTTTATATACTGTCTATGGGTTAAAGAAGAAATCTAGTTTATTTCAACCTTGTGTATTCCCCAATCAGTTTGGCCATTGCAGCTCTACAAGCTTCAAGAGGAAACAAGCGCGAGCTCCTGAGGTTATCCAGACAATGTAGTCTTTTAACTTTTGCTTTTGATTCTGACCTAAGCTTAGAATTTAGCTGCCTGGAGTGGACCTGTTGCTAATTGCATCTGCATCCAAAAATGAAAGTGTTGGGATGATTTTCTACAAATTGCTAAAACAAAATCCTGTCAAAGTTTTGTTTTAATTTAAATTTTAGTACACATGTGAGGTGTTAAACAAAGTGGAGGATGAAGTTGGCTCTTGGCTCTGCATGGTCTCAAAGATGGAGAATATCCTCAGAGATATCTGAGATATCCTCAGAGGGTAAAATCAAGGACTGCACTATGACCCAGTATAAAGCTGCAGAGAGCACAGTCTTGTTTCACTGTAGGATGCTTTCCTCAATAGAGCCACAACAGCCACATTAATGTAAAATACTATCAGGTTGAAATAAATTTTAATTATCCTTGAAAATGCTGGATTAACAGCTGTAGCACCAGTATTGGCTCACAGGAGCATTCTCTCTCTAACACACCCACTGGATGAAACGATCAAACATACCGGACCTTAAAAAATCTGAGAATTTTTCTGCTTTAAAGATGGCGTGCTGGTCCCCCATAGCCAGCTTTGTCAGGACTTCTTGATCAACATCACTTCCTGTGGCAATCACCGTGGAGACCACCTCGTAACGACGCATGGCACTGATCGCTTCGTCCAGGTTGTCGCTGTTAGTGACACATCTGTAATGAAAGAATGAAATCTCTGCATTGGGCCTCGTTTGCCGGGCGCTTTCTCTAACCAGGATGTTGTTGATGGCATGTATGATGCCGGGCGCCACGCTTGAAGAAGAATCTAGATACCGTAAAGCTGTTAAACTGTTAACAATCTGGACAGGGTCATGTGTTAGAGAGAAAGCCACCCGATTCTCTGACTCCTTGCCAAACTCCATCAGTGCCAGACGGGCTCGCTCTCGATCGGTCCTGGTCCTGGCCAGTACCAGCCTGTCTGCAACCTTCTGAACAAATTCACGAACAAGGAGGAAGTTTCTCTCCCCGAGACGCTCTGAACCATCCAATAGAAATACCAAATCCACAGGCCTCGCAACACAAGGTGCTGAGTCAAGTTCTGAAACGAAACAAAAAAGAGCAATCACTTCCTGAAGTGCGTTTCATCATAAACCAATCATATAACTATGAATAAAACCCACCACTTGTACAGGGGAGATCAGGGCACTTAATGACTGGATCTGGTGAGAAATCATAGGTTAGACAAACACACAAGGACTAGTACTGTCAGGCTGCTGAGATTATTGGTACAGGCTTACCAGGACAGAGGACAGTTTCCATCTTTTCTAAGAATTCATCAGCCACCAAATCGCTGTAGCGCCTCATCTCAGTAGCCCGATCCTTCTTGTTGCATGCGATTGACACCAGAGTCTCGCTGTCGTGTCTGGTGTCAAACATGTCCCTATCCCGATGGCATTCACCACCACAGCGGGTCGTTGCAGAGGTATGTGAGCTGATTGTCGTCGTCTCGGGGTCAAAGCGGCCGTCTGTGACCACGACGACGGACACTTTGGATCGGGCTCTCTTGCTGTCCCTGATGAGGTTATCATAGGCGTACTTCAGAGCAGAGGGGGTGAAGGTGCCCCCAGCAATCCACCTCAGATTCTTCACTGCAGTTTTGAATGCAGTCATGGAGTTTATGTTTGGGTCATCGAGACGAATGCTCTCAAAGGTCCCGTTGTGACTGTATTGTACAACTCCAACTCTTGTGCCTAGGAGATACACACATCTTTAATCAGTCTAAAAGTCAAACTTTTACATTTATTATTTCTGTAAATCTTTTTGGAAAAGCATCACAGATAAATCTGTTAGGGGTTACTCGGTAACACCGATGCATTTACAGCAGCACGGCGGTTGCAGGCTTTACTCCAATCATAATTTATAATGTCAGCAAGT